CCCGTTTGAATTCAACCACCTCTGAGTCCCCACCCAATCTAACCCCTGCACCTGACTTCCCTACAACAGTACAACCAGTGAGTCTGCTTGTTCACAGATTGCACCATATGTTTGAGACTAGACTTGCCATGTTCTCCCAATTCGAATTATTCCATCTCCACCTCCACATTTGCTCGTTGTGACTCCGGCTATTTACCCAACCGGCTAAGGTCACTCATGGCCAGCAATGATTTTTAGTTTTAGTTCATTTCCGCCGACTGTGTCTTTGGATTAGTCGGAAATCTTGCCCATTGTTCCCTACAAGTTGCGAAAGAAACCGCTCATTATTATTTCATCGAATACTTCCCACTGTTTATGACATTGTCCTCTTTACGCGCAGACCCCACTTCCCGCAAACCCCCCAGTCATTCCCCATTCTAACTGTAAACGCATGGTAAACGCACGGTATTCCACTCACAAGTTGTGGATAAATATTATTATTATTACAGACCGTCTTCATGAACTACGTGCAAACATGTTTGGGTAATTGCATTAAGCTCCAAACATCCATACTCTTCAAGTCAAGCGCATTCGTTTACAAACCCGAAACAAAAAAGGATAAAATACCGTCATTCGCCGACGCCTAGTCATCCAAGTCAGCTATTCTGGAGGGGAACTGTAAAAATGCTAGCATATTACAAGGGTACACCCTGAATATGTTGGTGCAACTCCGCCGTCCTGACATAGCTGGACATAGCTGGAAACAAGACGTGGTCAAACTCGATCCAACTGAAATAATGGGATCTCCGGTGAAAATAAAAAGGTATTTGATGGCACACCAGCAACTTTTTCCTTTATTCTCTTGACCATAACATTTCGTCTACTCGTACCATTTAGTGCAAACACGAACAAACTCACGACCTGAGGCCAACTGCCTACATGAGATGTTCATTCCGATCCGCTGAAACATTCATTCAAATTTAACCGTTTTCGTGTGTCCATGCTTCCCGCAAAATTCAATAACTTTCTTTACAGTTCCGGTTCGTGTGTTGCCATCACCTCGCTCTTCCAAGGAACTACCTTGCACAACTCCAAAACAGCGACACCAGTAAGTCTCTACAGTTCCGCTGTACAGCATGCTCCTGGAATTCCTTTTGCTACTTATCTTTGCTAATCCCTCCACTTTATCGTCTCCACTTACACATTTCTGACCCTGCTCAAGAGCCCAACGGGCCAAGACCACGAGGTTTCAGCGGCGGTTTTAGTTTGGTTTGACCGGTTTGATGACGCCATTTTTGTTGCTTAACCTGACCTGGTGTTCTGGTTCCTCATTTTTTACCGGTACACCTTTCTTGTCATGTGTCAGGCAGGAAGCGTCTTTTTGCTCTCTCTTGCTTTGTTTTTTGCCCGCGGATCTTGCTCGATATTCGCTATGAAAACGCATAGTAACTGCACTTCCCTGTCCATGTCGGTTTGGTGGTGACCACGCCTGTGTCGGACAATTCTCACCCCCCATGACGCCGTAAATTTTCTCATATCGCTGTGCCCACATCCCCACCAGTCATGCTTTTATTCCGGCTGCATTATAATAATGCTTAACAATATGCCACCCACAAGTTGGGAATAAACTTTAGCATATTCTTGAGCCATGACGCCGTAAATTTTCTCATATCGCTGTGCCCACATCCCCACCAGTCATGCTTTTATTCCGGCTGCATTATAATAATGCTTAACAATATGCCACCCACAAGTTGGGAATAAACTTTAGCAATATTCTTGAGGTCGGGCCAGTTTTATCCAGATCTACCAAGTGCCTAGAAAGTAAATTGGTCGACTCACTAGGCCAAAATTTCAAACGTTGGCCACGACCATGTTCATGGGCAAAAGCAGACAGAATTTATGGAACTAAAGACCGGTGTCTCCTCCGGCTGTTAATAAAAAACACTGACCGCTGACCAATAAGGATAATAATAATAATGTTTATTCCCAATTTTTCCACCGTTTGCAGAGTGGTCCCCCATAGTAGGATCAGCATTTTGGTTCCCATAAAAATGAACTCTCGCCTGCACAAAATGCTAAGAGAACGATGGTTTTTGGTTGGGAACATGAGCGCAAAACATCTTAGGGGCACAATTGCGGTTGGAAATATTAGATATGGTCATTTTTTGAGCCTGTAAAAGTGCTCTACAATAATCGTCCGTCTAGAAGCGCGCCGATCGTCAGTAGGCTCAAAACTCCTCCGAATAAGCGCAAAAATTTTGTTGCAGCTGCCTTTACTGTTCACAGAACTCGGAACTATGTGAGTCGGTGAATTTAGATGGGAGCACAGCCGTTGTGCAGCATGAACTACTCTGTCGTCCGGCATGTTGACCAATCCGCTTCAAGCATGGTCCCAATCCGCCTAACAAAGTCCTAACATTTGAGGGCTACATGCCTCCTGGATCAAAGGGACAGGTTCTCCGGCGCAGCGATTACCCCAAATCTCAGCACAGTATGTCAAAGGAAAAGAATGATCGGTGAATAATAAAACCAGGATATTTCCCTGCCTGCAGCTCTGGGTGAGTTGAGTCCACTTTGCAGTGTAGCCAGCTTACTGCACGATTACCGACAGACGAGAATTTTTACCACCAGAATAAATTCAGTGCAGAGGAGGGTAACTTTCAGTCAACTACAGTTGTCATAATCAATCCTAATGCAGCGAATATGCTTGGTGCCATCAGCGTGTCTGTGCCCCGAAAAAGCCTACTCAAAATTTGAAGGTCAATTGAAATGCGTTTCCGGTGACCATTGGAAAAGTAACACGTGAGATCAATTAACATCTTGCACAACTAGGGTACTGTGCCCAAATAGGTGGGTAATGTGTTCAACCAGGATAACAAAACCCACGAATCAGCCTGCTTAGTAAGTTTATGTTCGCTAGCAAGACTGCTTGACTATGGCAGCGGAGAAATGCTGACTGAATTTGCCTCCTCTCTTCAACATGGTGTTTGGGAGTTTACGGTGGACCCAGCAGAACAGTTTTTTCAAGGATGACCCGCGTTGACAACGGCAGGAAATTAGAATCAGTTGGAACGTTAAATGTTTTTAAGTGCGTAGTTTTAGACATCAACCTGAAACATTTTATGTTGCACAGACTAAGAAAGAGGCTAAGTTGCCCTACAGGACCGCGATAGTCTCTCTCTATAAGTGATGGTAAAAAGAAAATAACAGTTAGCTTCCTTTAACAGTTCACAGTTTACCTCCATTTTATATAATTATACCTACTAAGCAAGCCCCCAATTTTCAACGGTATTCACGCCTTACCGCAGGACAAATGTTCAGCTGTACTTGCCGGAACACTATGGGTGGTGTAGTCGTTCATATACAAGCTCAAAATTTTTAATGCTCGAAAGTACAGGTATCGCCACCTCTTATGAAATTGACGTGAAAATTATCATGCTCATTATTGTTAGGTCTTCCAATTGATAGAGATTGTGATGGTCACCGGTTGAAAGCCTAACCGGGCTCGCAAATCACAATGTAGGCGATCAAACATCACGAACCTTATTATGATCATCGATCTCTGGACTTTCGTTCCTCCAACTTATCTCCCGGATGAAGCGATCTGTTACGGCTTCTTTAAGATTTCCGACCGGACCAGTCCCGATCTGATGTTGAGAAGCCTCACACACCATGGGGTCTCAGAGAGAAAAACGACTGGCTGAAAAGCCACTATGTTAACCGTACGAGTCATCGCACGAGTCAAGTACGTGTCACCAGAGCTCAAGGATTTAAGAGATCAACCAGTTATCTCGAAGCCGTATATTACACCTTCCGTTGCTCATCGCGCCCCCAATGAACTATAGACGTTAATAACGAGCTGAGTTCTGCTGAACACTAACGAAAGTAAGAATCGTAGATCAATGATGTTCTAACTAACTTGAAAAACCTTCGAAAGTACCTGAACAGTGCCCTCCAACGAACCTCTTAGACCAGGCACTCACTTGGCGCAATTACATGAAAAGGTGTACACGTCGGATATCACGCGGTCGCTCAATGAGCCATCAGACATTTTAGGTGTTATCCAGCACAAAACGGACTGAAGCGTGGATGGGATGTCGCAACTCCTGCATGGGAGGTGAATTCTAGTGCCCGAAGATCTCTGTTCTGACAAATAATTAAAACTCAAACGCGTGTTTGCCTGCCTGAACCCAGACCGAGCGTGTGAGGGAGCATTGGCACAAACTAGCGAATCACCTTGGTTGGATTCGCTGTCAGTGCAACAGCCTCACACGTTGGAATGCGCCTACAGAGTCCGTTGTACTCGAATCTACATCTTTACAGAATACCATTGGGAGAGCGGCTTTATTAGCTGGGACTGCGATACACCCGCTAAGAGGTTGTGAGCGGAGACATTGATGATGCACAATCCTGGAACCCTTATTACATCCCTCGAGTTTGCCAAATCTTTGGAGCGGATCACGGACCAAAACTGTTCTGTGGCTCCGCATGGCAGAACAGATGTTTCCAATGTTTGAGCTTGGTATTTGGTTGAGTACTATTCATTGTCATTTGTTCCTATACTCACATTTGCAGCACAAAGTTCCTGCCATACATATCAATACAATCACCGTCTCAGAATAGACCAACACCACAACAAATGGTCTAGTTATATTCCATGGGAACAGAGCGGCTGCATATTCATAAGCATTCTCTATAATTGTGGGACCCGTTGACTTCAGCGCTCCTTGGTTTTCCAGTTGCAAATGCTGACTCAATAAAAAATTCGTACTTAGATTTAAAATGTGACCAGTGACAGGAAACGGTAGGCCGCGGGCCCAACGAGTGGAGCTAAAAACGCAAGTTTCTTTGATGAATACAATCGACCGAGGGTTACACCCAGTAACTCACTTCAACAAATATTAGTGACTCCATATTTTGCGCGGGGGCTGTACATTCACTCCGGGATCTTTAAGTCGGCGCTAAGCCTGTCACCTGGTGCATAATTTATAATTCCAGCGATCTCTCGGGGATTCATAGATTCACAAGTTGATGAGCAGGGTCAAAGCTTTTGCCCACAAGCCTCCCGGTTTGGGGTTGTTCTTGTTATTCAGCGGCTTCTGTTCACCTGGAAGGCACAAACAAAAGAATAATGTGACACCGATTTTTAAGCTTTCAGCTCAAAATAGTGAGCTTGACAGTGTGAGGACTCATATACAAGCATTTACCAGTGCTCAGAATTGGGTTACGGATGCAGCTTGGACAACGATTGATGTGAGGCTACTCCACACAGACAAAAAATGAAAAAAATGTTGCCCAATAAAAGTGCGTGCTCTGGGTTTGCAGTTTTCTCCGTGCCCCTGCTGAGTATGAGTTCGGTCAGCGGCGAAAAAACAACAAGCCTAGCCGTGTTAAAACAGGAAATGAGTATTGTGTTTCATTGACGGTGACTATAATACGACGGAATGGTCAAGCACCCTAAGATGCATTTCATAAGTGGCAGATTCGAGGTCAACAGCCTTAATCGTAGCAGCGCGTTCGACACGCCCAATGAGGGTTGCATCAATTTTCGCATCTTGGATGAACCGGTTGGCTGGCATATTTAAGAAGCAGGACTCAGGAAGCGCTTGCGAGTAATATGAGGGAATGTGCACCGAATAATCCGCAGAACGACTAATACCTTCTGAGACGACTTTTCACGTTGCTTTGAAAGGGACAGGGTTGAAGACAGCTAGACACCTGAGTTCTTTTCTATCTATACCCGCATAATCTTCTGGTCTCTTCTCACCCTGCATGACGATAGCATTCAATGGGTCTCCCTCAAAATATATATGGACGCACATCTCGTCGTTCATGGGAAGGCGCTAGTCCAATGACCAATACTTTGTAAAGTCTAAACCCATTTGGAGGGCTGTGGCGTTGGAATTCAATGCTTTCAAGGCTTTCACAAAGTGTAGACATGGACTGAAAATAGCATCTGTAAGGTCATTGACAGACTAGAAACATGAGTGGCCCAAAAATAGAACCTTGAAGGCCTCAACTGGATACCGGTGCCGAAAAAAGCAGAACGTGCTTGGTTTCACCCGGAACGTTCTATCTGACAAAGCATGCCACCCATGCGCAGGATTCCTCCTCGAATTTTATAAGACACAAGCCTTTGGAGCAGCGTAACGTGTAAGACCTGGGTGAAAGCTTTTGAGGGGCCAAAATTGTAGCATCCGAAATTAATCCTTTGTTCTTAGTTTGGGTTCAGTTGTCCATAAATACGAGCACGGTCGTCACGCGATAAAGTTTGGGAGAATCCGCGCTTAGTTTGGGTTCAGTTGTCCATAAATACGAGCACGTTCGTCACGCGATAAAGTTTGGGAGGAATCCGCGCTGCGCTGGGCATATCAAGATTTTGGTACAGAGGTGGCCCGCTTGGGAATACGTTCCATGGCCTCGCGCAGAGTCTAATAGGTCTATAACTGCCAAGCGACAAGGAGTCGCCAGTTTTGTAAATTGGCATGACACCGACTTCCCTCCAAACAGGGGGAAGTTTGCCTTCGTCAAGCGATTGATGCAACGCCTGACAGAAATGCTTCATCATTATGAGGGACAATCCCTTTAGTATCCTTGGATGGACCTCGTCTAATCCCAGCGCCCTCATTGTTGAATAGCCTAGTACGGGCCTAGCACTGCTACACGGCGCTGACTGGCTTGAGATGTGCGGTATAGGTAATAGTCCCTTCCCGAACACACCTAAAGATCAGGCGATCCAGCCCATTGCCCGCTTTCGGACATTGGCTACTGAAGTACTGTACTACTAGAAAACGGACATTATTCTTCATTGTGAAGCTGTGCACAGTTAGGGGCACGGGCGAACACTCAGATCGGATCCACGTGGTGGTGATACCTGACCCGCGGAAACAAAGATCCACTATTCGGCCGCGTGGTCTAACGGTTGTTGAAGACAGGTAAACATCCACCCAAGAAATTCCGTTCGTCAGATGTGCTGCCTCCCGATTCAGTGCACGCTTTTGAAAGGCAATGGCCTCTACGTACGTTGCTTCGTCACCAGCTAACTAAGTATCCATTGGTGGGTCAAGCAGCTGAAACCAGAAGAGAACACGAATACACCATCACATCTCTCCACTGTTGAAAAGTAACCTGCCGATGGGTGAATTAGCGCTTTCTTCACGGCACAGGTGAGCCTGGTTCCCCGGAGTGTCAATCCATCAAGGAAGAATGCGGGAAAATCCAACCAACTGAGTCTTCGGACATGATAGGTAGCCTGTAGTTTGATGCCGTCAGGCGCATCTCCCTTTGTCCTTGCTTTCACACTCGATCAACCTACACACATGCCCACAGTGTAGACACAGCAGTTAGCGGTATGGATGGAGCTCCTGATGCGTTCTTTCCAGGACCCATCACTTGTCAATGCAGTCGTCAGGAAACTGTCCCTCATCAGATGTGGATTAGGGGAAATTAGACCGATTTAACAGATAGTCATGGGCGGATCTGACACGGCATAAAGCCCGTTGTGTGGCATCAACGATTCTCTGAGGAAACCGCCTGGCGCCACCAGCGTCGCCTGTATGAGAATCACAGCACTTATCTCAACCGACCATGAGCACAACGCGATATTTTTCTTGCACACGTTTTCATAGAAAACGCCATTCCCGTGAGAAAAAGAACACAAGCGCCCCAGAACTCGTGACCAATATTCAGCCCACAATATTTAGAACCTGCGGATTTCGTCATAGACTTGTGAGGAGACCTCAAACTAGGGATTTCCGAAAACAAATTTCAATCCTCCTGCGAAAATCCGCAAATGTGAACGAAGTCAAATTCTACAGAATTCATAGCGACTACGGATAGGCCGAGGGTCGCAGCAGCATCACCAGTTTGCCACTACCATTGTCCATAACTTCTTCCTATCCAGTGTGGATTGTCGGGAATTCATATCATCGGTGGATCCTCAAGTGACCTATGAAATTCTTGGCTAACTGACCGGCTGGCCGACTGAGACAGTGGTTTCAAGGCCATTAGCCGGTTGAGCCAATCGGAACTCCAATCTCGCGATGGTGTCCTCGTTCGAACTGGGCGGATTGCCTGAGTCGTATATCTGAAATCCGCCGACTTCCCAATGATTTCATTCATCGGGCTTCAGCGATTTTCCCGCATAATTCATCGACGAGCGATTCGCTTAGATTGTTTTAGGTTATCGAACTCCCAATCACATGCCAGTCAGTCAAGTTCTGTTGTGAAAAAACAACCCAGTCGTACAGATGATCTTCCCTCCACCAAGGTTTCTCAAAAAGGTATGCACGTTCTTTATTTCCGAGTCCTCCCGACAGTAAAGGAGGCTGCCAAAGATGTCGGTTATGGAAGTGTTATTATTGGTGGTCTTATGTTGACAGGTAATCAAAGTCGCTTTGTTACTACATGTCTGCATCGACACAGGCGTCATTCTGTACGTGATGCTCCGTGAACTATTCTCGTCGAAGAGCCCAAATGGTGTCTACAATGCAGCATTCAAGATATGTAAGGATGATGCTCGTGTAAGTTCAACCTTGTCGGTTTACTGCAGTTAGGTCCAAGATCTGTTGGGTAGTAATATAAAGGCCCATGGTGAAACAAATCAACGTGGCAGAAGAAGGCACACCGCGTGAGTTTTCATATCAGTTTTCTTGACTGAATCACTAACTTTCTGACGGACTGAGTTAGTCCGACCGCCAAGATAATAGGGCCCTGTTCCATAATTGCTTTCGCATTGTCGAAGCAGCTGTACTTCGAGACGGCCCCGAAAATTCACTTAAATTTGTGACTTGGGAGGGAAATCCAGACGAAACAACAATTTATAACCAACTCAGTATCGTCTCATGATAGGGTAAGCAACCCCCCACCACCAATCCCAATCGGTTTTCGGCTCATTCCGGAGACAATACGAGTTTCGGTTCCACTGGTCTTCGTCAAGCGGTCAAAATCACTCGTTGTCTCCGTATAGCTAGAACACTGAAGAATGCCTTCCCAGTACATTTCTTAATCCAGGTTGACCCGTCTGGAAGGGACATACCCTTCGGAACCTTTCGGGTCAACGAAACTAGCTGTAGCAATAGCTGAGCAGGTAGATACGTCTGTGAAGCTGCTCTTTCTAGCTTTCCAGGGTTTGTCGGCGGTCCCGAAACCTAAATTCGTTAAGTATATGCGTCCACTGCCTGATTGAGTTACCGAATTCAGGGTTATCCCTTGTTAGCCTCGTTTAATACAAGAAAAACCCGGTTCCTGGCAAATCTGCTTCCCATTGGGCCGTAAAATTCAGGATGAAAAAAGCATAATCTCGGAGTAGCCATCGCAATTAGTAATCCATTTTGTATGATTGGCGCACGTCAGTCACTCGCATTCGAATACGGATCCATGAACTTCTCCATAAGGCAGTATAAAACTGCTTGAAATTCCTACTGAGATCTTCAGTGCGCACACTTACCTCTTGCCTCGTATGACCGTTTGCTAAATGTTTAACAAATTTACTTGGTTTACAGTACCTACGCTAACGCTAGACAGGCTTGTCTCACCCTTTGCATGCAATGAAAAATCCTATCTTTCCAGCATTTATCTCTAATCCACTCGGAGGAAAGCACCGACCACGTGACCAAGAACAGCCGGATCACTATTGGACCACTGCCTAATAAGGCGACATGAGCAACCTAGTCAGGGTATGTAGTCCACGTGGAAAGGCGAACTTGTTGGAAATGTGCGGTATCCTTCAGTCAGTTACGAAATTGCAGGGCATATGTAAGACCGGATTGCCTTGTCGAACCCCTTAGTCTAAAGCAGGGATCATCCTCTTCTTCACAGACTCGAGCGACGACCCCTGGATGGCAGCTTACTAGGCAGGCATCCGTTTTCGGGGTATGTCAGAGGCGGTATCTGTTCGTTGAGTCAACTACTACACGAAGGTCGGCAAATTAAATGGTGGTTGTTCGCCACGACCGATAGCCCTATTTTGAAATATGACAGCGTGAATAGATGGTCAGCTATTCCTGTATGTCGTTCCCTAGTTTTGGTCCATTTTCTGTCCAACTTCTCTGAAGCAACACGCTAAAGTTTGAGCGAAAATTTTGGCTGCAATATATATCAGTTTGATAGCCCTGTAGTTGTTGCACACTGTATTCCCCTCTTTTTGATCATCAGAAGAATCTCAATCCAAAAAGTATACCTTGTCCCATTTTGAACAGGTTCGTTTTTGGGGGACTTCTAGCATCGCTGTTAAACAAGCTTTCTAGGTTTTTGTCAGAGTATCGTCGTCACGCAACTAACTTGCAATTTCGATTCCCGAAGTCACCTTACAGCCGGTAGGTAAGGCGTGGAATCTGTCATCCGTGTTTGGAGGGATTATCAACTAGTAAACTAAAGTGCTTAGTCCACCTCTTCAGCTTTCCCTCGCTTATTATAGGCTAATTAAGCGTCACGAAGATTTATTTATCAACCTTGTCCTTTTCTGGATGAGTGTGACTTGACCAGGAAGGATGCGGAATTCGAAAGCTTTTTCAGCAGAATAGCCTGAATAGATTGATGGTCTCTTCAGGGATCAGGGGATGCAAACTCGGGATTCGATGCGGTGGGACGTTGTCTGGGGTTTTGTTGGACATCTTATAGTCAAGAGATTTAAGTTCTGGCGTCGATGCTAATAATGATGATTTCAGATCGTCAACACCATGGAAAAGTCATCAGCCTAATTCTAATCCGTGATGTCTATTGCTAACGTCTCGATCGGCCGGTTGGTATCGCCTATTACTTGAACCACACGATTTAATGCCACTGAACAGACACCTGTACTCAGTGCTTCTACCCCCACTACCACATCTCGAAAATTCTCTTCACCTTCAGCACAGTTCAAAGATAGATTGGAGCTGCCATTTTTGAAGCCTGAAAACTGAGTGATAGGTACCTGTGTCGCGTCTATTGACTGATGCTGATGCCTGCCGCACGACTCGTTAACTTTCATTGCGTATATGTGTATCAGGCCGTTTAACATCACGTTATCCGAAATTAGGAAGTCGCATATATAACATCATGACTATTGTACTCTTCTTGTTCCAATTACTTGTTTTTATTCTGTCGAACCTTTTTCAGCTACCAGTCTTGGTATGATGACCAGAATCGATTTCACATGGCCATGAAATTCTACCTTAAAGGGACTCTTGGCAGTGGTGTCGTACATTTAGAAGTCTACGAGGTAATGGATTGCTCCTCCAGTATTTTTGTTCGGTATAGTGAAAAAGCCAATGCTTCATCTCGGTGTGCTTGTTTTACCTTCGCGGTGGGGTGATGATTGAACATGGCTATTTCAACCTACCGAAGTCCGAACCTCCGATAGTTTTGGTTGGTAGCTTGGAGGAACTTAGCGGCGTTTTAACCCAGTTGTCTGAGCCGAGGGCTTTGGTCGAGGATCCTAATCGTCCTCCTATCTAGGTACGAGCCCCCATGGCAGTATCCTAACCCGCGTACAGCAATGGATTGCCCACTTGCAGTTATCGGAACAACAACAAGTAGGGCAGAATTCCTTTTTCTTTCGGTGTACTATACATATACACATATATATATATACATATATACTATACATATGACACTCCCCATTGTTCTCCGTTAAAATTCGACAGTAAGCGCGAGAGTATAGACTAATCGAACAACTTATTCCACAGTTGTCTGTCGGCAGCATCAATGCTTTGCTCACGCTCTTTTGCTACGCTCTTTTCAGTATGTTAGTAGCTGGTTTGCTGTTATCCGTGACAATGGCTTCAACAATTGTTGCATCTGGCCTTTCAAACGCCATGTCATTGTACATCTCACTCTTGCGTTCCCTGATATATATATATATATATATATATATCAGAGATATCAGTGATATATGTCATTACCTGTTTGGTTCACACTAGTTCCGCGAGACTCAATTTTTTGGACTGCCGGAATTCCGCAGTCATATACTGAGATAATGCATGAGCTTGGAATGAGGTGTCATAACTGGAAAGCAAGCAGCAATCCTACAAAGTCATCTCAACCGAGCACTTGTACCTGGAAAACGCGCCTGCACAATCAGAGTTAGCTACCAACAGGGAAGCACAAAGTCCATCATAGTTTTGTATCTTTCTGTGACAGGAGCATTATCTTAACGTGAAAAGAATCACTCGTTTTTGGAAAACACGCACTTTAAAATATTTCATAGTGAAGAATTTTTCTTGAGTCACCCGTTTACGGGTTCAGTGCAGCGGCATCAAATCGAGCATCTGAAGAAAAAGCGGAATGAAATGGAGTTTTAATCACCTGGTTCTTACAGAATGGTCGAATAATCTGACCACTGAGGCAAGCCGATCTCTGTGGCAGCTCACTGTTGGTGCGCAGCCATTTAGCGTTTGGATTTTCCGGTTATCGATTTATACTCGGCTAGGACAGTGAAAATACTTCAGAATAAATGCTTTTCTAGTATATACCCGGATTGCACAGATGCAAAGAGACTTCCTTAAATTTATTTTTTCGCTATCTTTGGTTCTGTAGCCAGTTATTTTTTATGCAATCCACAAATTTGATCACAGTCTACTACGGTGGTCTGAAAACACCAGGGGTTCCAGGTTTGAAACTCTCCTCTCAGCCACCGCCTTTATTACCAAATGCCTCGTGGTTTGAGCGACGTATCATCATCTACACTGGGACTAAAAATAATATAATAAACACCGAGTTCTAACAGCCTTTTGGCACCTAGCTACAATGACATCTGAATAAAGAACAACTACTGAGCTACTAGATGCACAAGCATAGACAGGAACAGCCGATTACCGAAGTTGGGTTCGGTCCAAAGCTCTTCCAGTCAATAATTTCTCGCCCTAATCACTGAGCTGATAAATATATAATTGATTTCATCGGGAGCAGCTGTTCTTTGAAGGGATGGCTGACTGAATTTTTTCCCAATGTGGCCTATGTGAAAGCTTTGAGAAGGATAATGCATAAGTCATGTAACCCATGTCGCGCATACATTTTTCGCCATACCTCTACCCAGATACAAACTTTCAGATATGAAACCCAACATTTCCACCATAAATTTCGGTCGATGACTATAGCGAGATTTGCAATTTTCTGTCAAAAATTTGCCTAAACTATATCTTCTGCTTAATGAAATTGCTCCGGAAACGTGTATACACTGGCCTATTCAGGCCGACTTCTGATAAGTAGTCAGAGGTACCCGAGAATATGATGGGGTTACCTTTTTGAAATTCACTTGTCAACAGGACGCCTGGATGAGGAGTTTAAAATTAATTGTGTTTGCGTTTCATAACTTGACTTAAACTGTTCTAGTTTCAAGCCAGAAGCAGGATTTTAACCCCGCGTTTGTGTCACAAGATTTGCAAATAATCCCTCGCGTTCTAGCAGACGGATAGTGGTTTATCCTGCGCAGAACTTTTTTTACCGAAATTCAGTATCCCATTCAATCCCGGTCGAGATCCAGAATGGATGGGTCATCCAGATGTATAGCGAGATTTACACTGAAGATTATTTGTTGCTTTTCTGTTCTTGAAGTGTTGAATCAGAATTCGCTTTTGCCCTTTTCGAGTTTCCTAGCACTATTAAGAGTAGTGAGATTAGGAATGAGCACGGTTTTTTAATCGCTTACATCCTCGAATATTGGCAGTTTATGATAGAGGTTTCGGATGCCTATGTAGAGAGACAAAAGTCTAGCCCTGTATCATCGTAGCTAAATGTGGCCACTTGAATAGTTAATTTATCAAACTATGTAATCATGCAAACCAGACTTCACTTTGCGTAGGAAAATTCTGTCGATATTGCAGCGACATATTGCCCGGATATCAATAATGGGTTATTAAATCCTCACAATTTGTCACGACACTCTTAACCATGTTTTTGATTTTGCGACCCCATAAACAATAACTCGCAACGGCTAAAATCTCAAGCACCTACAGACTGCTTGTCCGGATTTCCGGAATTGAAGACCCACTTGAGCGCTAGGGGTAAATCGTAAGCTGAATGGCGAAGGCGAATCACGTTCTTAGCTTTTTTATGGTTGTTTGTCTGAACACCGTGACTAGTTGATTTACTATACTGAATCTTCATGAGGCCTACCTCGTCAACAAATTATACTACTCTACAGTGTACGATATCGCCCTATCCCAGCTGTTTATGTCCCGACTCTTGTGGAATTACGAAGTAATTAACATTTACGTAAACCCAGGCGAAAATACGACACATTGGTCTCAGTAAGAACGAGGGTAAGTTAAAGTCTTCTCTGGTTGAAACCTGCTATTTCTATATGTCCTCGCAGAACATTTCAGTGTTAATGAACTTTCTGGGCTTACCTAGTGAGCACTTGACGGTACCCACTGGTTCTTCTTACTTAATTCCGTGATTCTCAGTCGGAATGACTATGCTATTTAACAACAGCTTCACATAATCTATTCATCACTAGCAATCACAAGAACATGGCTTGAAAGTACCTATAAGAAAATGATCAAAATTAATCAGGGAAGCAATTAAACCATATCACCAAGGTCTCCGTTGACCTTGTCACGCTATACAACTTTTGATTTTAATTTATTGGCCATGAGACTTTACGTCATACCTTTCAAGTAATCACTCGAATCAAGCTGAATGTTCGCTTCCTCGACAAGCATTTTGCAGTTTGAGGTCGTATCGCGTCTAGCTGAAAGAGAGAGTCCGAATCTCCCGATGGCGTCATCAAACGTGAGAGACTTGCTGAGCCACTTTGTGTGCAAGTGTTCGGAATTCTACCCAAATCAACCGAAGAGTGGTCGCTGCTTTAGCCGTAAATGTCTCAGTAAATTGAGAATTGCGCATGTTCCAGCGCTGAAGAAAGAACCTGGTAGCATAAGACCATGGGATGGTTTTGTTCATAATGTCAGATGCCTGATTGGGCTCTGGACCTCCACCAATTCAATTCATTCGTGGAGCTGTTACGATAGCCAGAGTTTTGGCTACTACTCGCACTATTCCCCCGTGAATCATTGGATGCTATTCTACGCTATGCATCCTAAATGACTGTATTTATCTCTGTTAGATTCTTGATTTTTAATGGAAAGTTTCATCTGCAGCAGCACCCGAAATCGCATGACACCCTCTGTAGGAACAACCATTCACAGCTTATGATGAACATACTTTTCCATGTTTCGGAGCTCGTTGTTTAAAAGACGAGCTGTCAGGAGTAACGTGATGTCAAAGCGTCCGGCGAAATATGAAATTCATTTGAACAGCCAGATATAGTAGTTTCAAATCCCCATGGAAATGTGCATCCCACTTTCAGTGAATAACTAACGATAAATTTTTGAACATGGGGTATACCCGAACAGCCGATGCGTGCTGTTACGAGTGGTCTATCTGTTGCCCAGAAGAAAAACAAAACTTTCCACTAGTTTGCAAACCAGCACAAGTTCTTATCATCTGATTTCCGGTTACTCTACACCATAAAAAATATGAAAGGACGAACGACTAAACTGCTTGGCAGTTGTGCCCTAAATCATATTTTCAAGAGACAGCTCAGGATGCTAATCTTCCCGCTGAGTAGTGGTCCTCAAGGTGCTGTCTAAGCTGAACATGATGGCTTTATGGCTGACCGTAAGCATGAGTGCGCGCGTGCACACTGCCTGTGTGGGCAGTCTGACATGCGCTTACACGTCCGGGTGTCGAATACCGGTGCTCGCGTGCTTGCATTTGAGTGCGCATCTCTGTCTCTCCCAATTGGGTCATTGTTCCCGTGATTTATGGTCCATAAAGTCCACCACCCTTTGTTATGCACAAAACACTCGAGGATATGGTATTCACAAGCTCTGCTCAAACAAAATCACCTCCACGGGACGACAGAGGATGGATGTGAGTCAGCACACTCACAAGCACTCACTAAGCCTTGGTCACAAGGCATGCAGCCAAGTTGAATACGTGTTCTGGTCTTGATGAGCCCCGTATGATTTACCATCAACCTGATGTGTTCCAGAAAGCAAATTACAGGCGCTTTTGGCAAGCACAGTTGTGAGTGAGTTTAATTTGTGCTCGTCCTTGTAATTGCGAGCTGAAATTTCACTACAGCTGTCTGGAACTAAAAAACGAGGTAGAAAGTAATAAGTATTTTAACCAGCGTACATAAAGAGCGCTTTCGTGTGGCACTGAAGTTTCTGACAAACTAAAAGAAAGCGTGAATTCGCGCGTACAATTCCCATTGGCACAATACCCCCCCCCCTCATGTAAAGTTGTGGAGATACGTTTACAACGAAACTGCCGAGCTCAATTCATTCCGGTGAGCCCGCACCAAAAAGTAGGATCAATAAACTGAAACGTTACTCTTGTCATGGTTCTTCAGTGGATGGCGCTTACAGTCGTACCAAAAGTTGAACTGTGAATCTTCAAGATGTCATTACTACAGCTGCATATGGTCCATCTGTATCATTACGTATCCACACAACATAATCAAAATCTGAACTACACAGCCGTTTCACCTTACCCCTTGAACCACCGTGCAGTGACTGTCCTTGCTGTGTAGACTGGGTCACTAGAGCTATGTCTTAAAGAGCAAGAACGATGGTTTCACCTGCACTTAAAAGACGCAAAACTGTTTGAAAATGTAAAGAAAAGTCCTGGGGTGACAGTGAGGAGCTCCTACTTCGTGGTTTGCCCACGAGTTTTATACACCCCAGGCAGTGAAGTCATTTCGTTACCTTACGAACGTTTGTTCGGAAAATTCAGGTTTAATGGTATACCTGGGATGATAGTAGTTCGGATGGCTGTTGTTCCATTCACCGAGCTTGAAAACTCGCTCGCAGACTTCTCGTGTGGACAGCATGAGCGTATGGCTGGGTGGGTAATTATGTCTCCGCAATTGGTGAGAAAATTTTCGCAAGCAGACTCAGCGAAAAGATCAATAGCTACCTGTTTGAAAAATAAGTCAACTACCTAAGCTAACAATATTTAGATATACTGTCAATACGGAAGACGGTATTAACAATAATTAATTCTTGATCCTGTCAATACTATTAACACACCGACGTAGTAACATCTAAATTTTGCACCACAACTTGATTCGAAATGCCTGCTGCCTCAGATCAAACTCCGAACCCTGATGAAGGTGAAATGAATGCACCTACAGAAGCTTACCACTACACCACTGCTGTGGGGACGGGATGCGTCCGTTTCACTGTTTTGCGATAAGGAAACGAAGCATTCGCTCGATTCCCAACTGTCTTGTTACTCGAAGGCGAAAACTAGTCGGAAAGTGAATGAAGTTAGATGGTACGTTCCTTGAAAGTGGCCGTGCTATTTTTCTCTCAGTATTCGCTACGGCTGTGATCACCTGCATCTGGATAAAACAAACCAATACACGCTACCCTCTTTTATGCGTAATATTTGAATTTACCTATAGGCAGTCGCCCAACAGGACAAACTATATTCGGCCATTTTCCACAAGAGATTTAAACGCCTGGCGAAAAGCTCAAATTTGACTAATTTTTGGTAGAATTGCTGTATGTTGGAGCACCATAAGTGATGGTATTTGTGACCTTAATAATCTAGAAATCGGCTTGTTGTATTGTCTCCCTCACTAAACGAACCCACAAATGAGTGCGGCAGAAAGCTGTTATGTGAACCAAGCACACCAAGCAAGCAATTTAATGTTGTCAAAACATTGGAACAAATGTCGCTTTCATTTGCTCATTGGGTGACAAAACTTCAGATAAGTTACAAAATTTTTGACAATTTGACTTCTGAAATAATAATCAAAACTCGCACGACCAAACCATGATTGTTCTATGGAATCAGAGGTGGATCATCGATATCAAGCATGGATTTAGCTGTGCAACGTTTTGATAAGATCGACAGCTGACAGTTATGGGTTGATTCTCAGTGATTCTGGTTCCTTTGATCATTCTCCTAACGTTAAGATTCTTCTGGAGGTGGCCTACATTTGGTTCATTGTGAAACAACCGCAAAATTAACCTGTACAACACTTCAACTCACGACACTTTGTGCCAAATGTGATTTACCTAGTAGGTAGTTACACTATTTTGAGAAAAATTCCAGTACAAAGGACTGAAACGAAACATAAATAATAGCATTTCTCCACAGAGGCATTCTGTATCATTTACAGTGTGAGGTCCAACCGGTGTGGTTAGTGCAACTAATGCGCCTCATGGCTACGCAGCAGAGCGGGTGGTCTTTTTCACGTAATATCTTCAATGTTACTTACTTGTTGAAGGCATAAATCAGACAGTACAAGTGCACCGCTGTTTGGGAAAGAGGCGGTACTCTGAGTGTCGACTTCGATTGGTTTACCACCCATGAGATCCGAGCGCAAGAACCATGCATTCTGTTTGATTAGTCACGAATTTTTTGCAAAGTGGTATGAAACAGATTGGGTGCATGAATTATCCTTCAGAATATGTCTTCGCTGACACCAAAAATTACAGCAGAACGGTACGAGAACAAAGATAATATTATAGTCCGATAGTTTTACATGTAAATAAAACGACGAAATCATTCTTGCTATTTGGTCATGATAGAATGGACGCTGATTTTTTTTCAGGACAAATTTTCTCGTCAAACGCTCCCTTTAATTTATAGTCCCTTTGGATCTTTAGTGGCCATACAGTTTCAACTTGTATCTCACTGCGGTATGTTCAACGGGGGAAGGGGGACTGGAAAATTCTGCGCCAAACGTCCATATGGTCACGTTCACCTTCCCGTTCTATGAGACAGAGTCAAACAAGACTGCTAATCCAAGAACCAATGTACGGGTGTTCCATCCTTGTTGAACGCAATTAAGAGTTGCATATCTCGACCACCGTATAACAGACCTTAATTCACATACAATTTTTTCAACAAGTGGAAGTTCACTTGATCATCAATGTGTGCGGGAAATGCAGAAATTTTGGATCGGTGATCAGCTAACGGTATGGTAATTGGACCCCCACATGTATTCACACGATGATCACGTGTTACTTGGCTGGATAGAACTTATGGTCGTTTGCTGATTCTTGCTTGTCAGCTGGAATCTACGTAGTAAATACTGTAATTTTTTCACCCTGAAGACGAAAGAAAGGCATCTACTTTTTCTTAATACGCTGTCCTCGGCAGCGTAAGGTGTGGTCTAAGCGATTAAAGCAGATAATGGTCGGAATTGTTTGCCTTGAGGGATGTTTACCATACACTACACCGCTGAATGCGATTTTTTCGACCAAAACTCCTCTCTCGTTTTTTGCATTTTAATTCATAACTCTCGGATTAAATCGGTGTGGTTCCCACATCACTGGGTCAACTTATCGTCAGATTTAAACCAGGGTATCAGTAAAGATGTTTTGTGAAGTCAAAACTTTCTGCTCATTCCTATTCATTTTGAGAGAAAATGCGATGCCCAAACAAGCAACTTAATGGCTTGTAGTCTTGTTAGTCCATTCTAAATATCTGAATACCGGACACAAATAAACGTATTCCAAGCTCACCGCACGTGACCACCGCAACAGTGTGCGTCACTCTCGAACTGCTTTGCCTCCTTTGACTCGGGTCTTCACGTCATTAGGATCTCAAAAATGGTCTGTGTGCATTCTGTGCTATTTGCCAGATCTCTAGAGCTTTCA